AAAAAAAAAAAAAAAAAAAAAAAAAAGCAAAACAACAAAAAGAAAGAAATTTGAAAAAGAAAAATAGAGGGCAGACACTGGAAATGCTGATAATTATAACCATAGCTTTTTGGTATATATAGAAATTTCTAGATGTTACGTGTTCTATGAGAGGGCTTACGAACAGCAATCCACAATAGCAATGAGCACATGTGACCCCCAAACCTTGGTTTCTAAATACCATTTTCTGGGGTTGGGGGATAGCTCGATTGCTCCTCTAACCTGCAGGGGGCCCTGCTCTCCAGCATCACATGAAGCAGGCATACTCTACACCTATATTCCAGGCTCTTGGTTGCAGGAAATAGTTTAAGATTATTGTTGGCTACATAGTAAGTTCAAGGCCAGTCTGGGCTACATGACATCTTGTCTCAAAAAAAAAAAAAAAGATTAAATACTTTTGGGATGTTGAGAGGGCTCAGTGGACAAAGGCACTCGTGCCAAGCCTGACCATCCAAGTTCAATCCCCTGGACCCACATGGTAGGCAAGAACGAACTGATCCCGTAAATTATCCCGACCTCCATACGTCTGCGGTAGCATGCATGGACACACACATGTAAGCATAGGAAGTTTATTCTAGAAAAGTAGCATTTCCCACAAATGGAACCAGATCCTCTCAGAGAAATTGTCGATTTCATGGCTAGTACAGAGGAAATACAAAGATGAGCTCTGTGTCATAGTAAGAACATACTCGAAGAAAGATGGAGATGATGTCAAAAGGACACAGGAACGAGCTTGCGCTCCCACTACTCAGAACGATTCTTAGAAAAATAATGTTAGTAACAAATTACCACCTCATCGGATGAAATGGGGATCTGTAAGTGGGGTGTGGTAGTGACAAAAGGCCGCTTTGTCTTGGCCCAGTCCCCAATACCCCACAAAACAAAACCAAGGCTACGACGACGCGGATGAACGGAGAGTGGAAGAAAGCCCGGCCTGCCCATGGGATGCCAGTGAGCACACGAGAAGGAAGGACACAGTCTGGCAGACAGTACTTGGCACAGTAGTAGCTGAGTCGGGCGAGTGAAGAGCTGGTCTATTACACGGCACTGGCCAGCAGGGGTGAGGGGGAATGTTAGACTGGAGATAGACCATACCTTACCCAAATACCACCTCCCACCCCCCAGTAACTGGAAAACTTGGCAACTGGCTGACACTTGGTAGGATGCGAGAAACCATTTCTTCTGTGGCATTCTCCCACGCCCGAGGCTGATAAGGAAGCACGGGGCACACTGGACTGAGGGGTGGACAACTGACTAACTGGTCTGAAATCTGAAAACCGCTTCATGATGTCACTATGACCACTGACTACAGAGCGTGGTGACTCGACCCTGAAGCCCATGACAAACAAGGGCAACCCGAGGGAAGCCTTCGGGTTAGATAATGGGAGTCTGTCAGTGCTGACTTCCTGGTATGGTGGGCGTCCTGTGATTTACAAGATGCCTTCCTGGAATCACACACTGATGTATCTGAGATGGTGAGGTGTTGCCTGCTCAGCAGCTCGGTGGGAAAGTTCCTTTGTACTTTTCTCAGTACTTTTTAAGTTTGGAATTATTTTGAAGTGAAAAGAATTAAAAGATATGAAAGTCATTTTTTTTCTCATGGTAATAAAGTTATGTCAACTTGGCACAGGCTAGACTATCTGCGTGGAGGAGGACTTGATGGAGGAAGTGTTTCCATAGGCTAGGCCCGGGGGCAAGTCTGTGGTGCAGTCTTGATGAAGGATTGGTGTGGGAAGGCCTCGCCCACCATGAGCAGTGCTACCCGAGCTCGTGGTCCTGGGTGCTATACGAAAGCAGACCGAGCAAGCCACGAGGAGTGAGCCAGGAAGCGGCGTTTCCCCGTGGCTCCTGCGTCAGTTCCTGCCCTGACCTCCCTCGATAACGGAAGTCTAAAGGAAAACACATTCCCTACCTAAGTTGCAAGGTAAGCGGGTGCCTGTACAAACCCATTCAGAAAAGCTTCCGCCTGGACGGGTGTTATGGCCCGAGTGCAATCCAAACACTCTTGAGAGGCAGAGGAAGGAGAATCCTGACCTCAGGTCCAGTCCACGCTGCAGCTGGAGACCCTGTCTCCAGGGACCTTCCTCACAAAGCTTACCACACGCAGTCCGTTCTCCTGTGTGGACCTCCAACCCAGACTAAGGAGCAGAAATAACAGATGAGCTGGCTGATGAGGATGCTGAGACATCACCGTCTCGACAAGATGGCATGACTGGGGCAGTCATCAGGGAGGGGGTCTCAGGGACCTGTCCCCACCTGAGGAACTGCTAGCTCTTGACGTTTGCTTGAAGGGGTGTGGTCCTAAACGCTGCAGCTGTATGTGAGCTCACCGTGTTCCACATCCATGCCCACAAAGGCTGTAATCCCAGTGGGTCACAAAATGAAGCCGTGAAAGTGGGAAGGGTCTCGGAGAGGGTTCTCTGGGGAGGGGATGGAGGTAAGAAAGGATGGCGGTCGGTGTGGTGGTGCACGCCTTTAATCCTATTGGAAGAGGTAGGCGGATACCTTTGAGTTCAGGACAGGTACACAGAGAGACATTGTCTCAAAAATAAAACCAAAAAGGATGGGGGTTTGTGACCACTTGTGTTATGTGCATTATAAAACTATCAAAGAATAAATTTAATTTAAAAACAATAAAGCTCCAAGTGAAAAAAGAAAAACCTGTTTTTTCTCTTAGGAAATGTAAATCTAACTTAAAATCAATTTAATTTGCAAAGGAACCAGTTTCTTTACTAGGAAAATTCTCATTTATTAATTCTGGTTTTTTTTTTTTTCTGATTCCTCCTGTTCTTTGGAGTTTTTTCCCTTAAACTATAGATTATATTTGTAAGAACAAAAAGCTCATTCTGCGACTAACAATGCTCCTAATTTAAATAGAGCATATAGAAGGGAAACCAAGGTAATAAAATACTTCCTGCTCCTGTGACCCCCAAGTCCCATGGACCTCAGCAGCCACTTCAACAGGAAATAATTCAAGAAAAAGTTTGCTGGAAGTTCCTGGCATTGTGTTTTGGGCTCACTGGATTCAAAGCTGAGCTAAAAGAAACCATGATTTACGCTAAATTATTTAAACTTCTTTTGCAGCGAAATTTCATCAGAAGCTGAAAGTTTACTCACTAGAAGTTTTTAGCCTGTAGCTCTGTATCAGCTAAGCTCTGTCATCCCCTTTGCATGTTTCAGACAGTGAAGAAAAACCCTTTGCTACTATTCACTGACGATGAGACATGGTCTCAAAGCAGCAGGCTTCCCTTTTCACCTCAAGCAAAAACGTTTTCCTGCTATAATATCTAAAATCCATCTTTTTCATAACCTAATTCTTTATTCTTTAGAAATTTCACTTTATGCACCCCAACCCCACTCACCTCCCAAGTCCCTCCAGTGCCCCCCCAAATTAATTAAAAACAAACAAAAAGACCACCTCACACCCCCACCTCTCCAACACCTCGTTCATCCCAGTGGCCCTGAAGGCTGCCGTGTGTCGTGCAGTCTACCCTCTCTCCTGCCGGCCCTGCCCACAGATGTTCACTGCAGATGTGCAGAGGTCCTCTGGCCTCTGACACACCATCTCCACTGGACCCTCACCAAAACTCCTCTCAGATCTCCTGCAGTTGTCCCCAGTCATGGAGAGTCTGCAAATATTGTTCTGCAGGACCAGCCCTTTATACAATCCAGCAGGTCCTAAATGGATTAGATATTAAGGTGGGCCAACCAGAGGCCCAGGATGTGGGCCTGGGTGGTGGCTGAGCTGGTCAGGGCCACCTCCTCAGGCAAGGGACGGCCTTGGGACAGTTCTCCCAAGCTAGTGGTAGGGAGTGGGGTGGAGCTCTCCTGTGAGGGGTGGGACCAGTTCTCAGGCTGCAAGG